AAAGCAAGTACTGTTTAAAGTCATAGTATATGTTAAGCTCTTTTGTCATTATTTATATGGTAAAGAATTTACCACTAGTTTTGGTTGAGCATCACTAAAATGGCTCGTGAACCTTAGAAAACTAGAAGGTATATTATATATATATATATATAACAGCGGATAATGGTAATAAAGGAGCACAGCTTCACTGCACAACACTGACTGGCTTGCCAACATGGCAATGCAGAAGTTTTTTTTGCTAACGAAAATGTCCAGATCCAGGACAAAATGCTGCTGCAAAACATTAGATATGACAATAAACCATAAAAAATGCAAAAATTCTACTGATGAATGAGGACCAGATGTGATGACATTGTTTGTGAGGATCATCTAAAGGACTCGTGCTTAGCTTTGTTGCTACTTGCCAAGCAGCAAGGCAATTGCAGCCATCATAGACCATTGAACTTAACATGGAAGAAAGTGACTTCTGACAGTTGTTTCAACAACTGGAGGTATAGGAGGAAGTACCAAAACATTGCTTCAGTCTATGCAAGCATGGCACCTGACCTGTGATATCGCTAGTGGTTATGAGGTCTCTGAGATCCAGAACTCTTTGAACATTACATGATACCAACTTGTTGAGATGGTCTCATAGGTTTCATTTCAACAGACATGTATTCCACTTGTACAGACACTGCATTTCCTGCAGATTTCAAGGAAATAATTTCAATATCAGGGAAAACTTCAATAGCAAGTTGTATGTTCTGTTAGAGAAAACAGCTATGGACATCACCATGGAGCTCCAAAACTTACAATGGTAACCATTATATTTGTGTGATAATTGATTATTGTAGAATATGGGCAGAAGAACATGAAATGGTTGGTATGTCAGTTTCATTAATCAAGAACTACTTCCAAACGAATCATACAGTTGCTCAGACACCTAGACAAGGCAGATCTACATCTTCAAAATAAATACATGACCTATATAAGTTCATTTTACTCACTGGCAATTGTATGATATTTGTTATAAGGTTGTCAGATGTTAACAGTCTCAACTAAATGTCATGTCAGTATAAAGATGGTTAACCACAGAGATTACAAGGCCAGTCTGTATGCCACATGTCAAATGACCTGCATTTCACTAAATAATGGGCTAAAACAGCTTAATTACATTGACCCCAAAAGCATATTTAATGTATCAACAAGATGCAAGTCAATGTTATTTTTAGATATGAGTTATGGTTCACTCTGTTAGCCTGACAAAAGTCATATAATTATTCAGAGAGAACCTGAAACAATATGAAACTCATCTTCATATAGAAGTGTGATGCACATCACATCGATGGGAATACAGCTTGGATAGCAGCAAACACTTGTGGATGTAACAACCTTCATATCCTGTGGAATAGTACCACTAATGTTACACATTACAGGAACTACATCCCTTTGTTCTGCCATGTGCTGGTGCAGTTATTCCTGACTACAGTCTATTGGATGATAATGTCTAACTTCCTCGTGCTAAACTGAATAGCACATTCTTTGGAAAATAGGGAAATGATAAAATGGTACGACCTGCATACTTACTGGACTTCAATCCCATTAAGCATGTCACATCCTGTCAAGTTAACTGCAAACACTACAAAGAAGCCCTAAAAATAACATTTTTTTTCATGAGAAGTGGTCAAGGATACCTCAGGAACTTTATCAACACTGGTTTTGAGCAAGCAACATCTGTGCCATGATACCCTTGTGTTTGTGGTGACTATTCTTTACTTTAAAGTGAAATGTCAAGATATGAAACACGAAAAGTTCCTTTTTTTTAACAAATGGTCATTTGGAGCACAGGCTGACTGATCAACTGCTTTCAATTCAGATCACTTGGTAATTCATAAGATTTGCATAAAAATGAAATAAGTGAAATGGCAAAGTTTCTCAAACTGTGTTACGTACGATATACCCAAGATTTCCACAAGAAAATGTTGTTTAGCATAGTTGGAGTAAAGGAACAGGCCAGGTATTGTTTAAAAGCTCTTCAGCCCACAAATCATACTACCCTGTATTCCCTTTGTCATTGACTATTTCATTTATGGGTGGAACCTAATTAATGACTTACTGTAAGTTAGATGCTAGAGAAAAACAATTGCAGTGTTTCAAGTAGACAACAAGCTGGACTGAATGATGCACCTGATATGAGAATCCAGTATCACTGGAAAGATTAAACAGATTTGCAAGCAAAAGAAGCAACAACGTTCTTCCCATTTAAAAGGAACAAACATTTTAATCTTTTTTTGAGACTTTGTTTGTGTGTTACAAAGTTAAGACTTAAGTACTTTCTTGAATAGAAACTGTTTAATTATAATTAATGTATAAATATAAGAAACGGGAAATAAAGTTCTATAAATTTACTTCTGTATGTAGTTACCTATTGTACAAATATAATTTATTATTATTATTATTATTATAAGTTAACTTTTTAACATAATGTTTATTAAGGGTTCTATCAATAGTTTTAGAGCTCAAAAGTGTTCCATGGCCAAAAAGCTTTGAGAAATTCAACATTTTTTTTGATGCTGTAACAATATGAATTTGTAATAAACAAGTTTCATAATATCAGTTGACAGCAGACTTTCAATAATTTGTTAAAGCTGCATTTACCATATCTTGGAGCATTTGATTTGATATCCAGGGTTATGTGTATGTACCATATTCAAAAGAATTGCATTAAGAAATGTGGTGGCTGATTACTAAAGATGGACAGCCCTAATCATTCTTTTGGGAAATAGGAGTCAAAAGACTTAAAAATAACTCTAATTTTACTTTTGAAAATATTAATTCAGGTTTAATTTTTCTATTTCAGAAGCTTGTTAACACTTTTAAATGAATTTTTACTTTGTTTTCTGCTAAGTTTTTACAATATTATCAATAAAAATATTGAAGTTATGAACAGTAAATTTTTATATATTTTTCAAGTGTTTAATTTTTTATATATTTTTATATTTATAGAGTACTGCTTGCATCAAAGTAGTTTAAATATTCAAAAATAAATTGCTTAAATAAATACTTAATTCTTGAAGAGAAAGGACTAAAAACAGTCTGCAATACCTACTATTAATCATTATTTTAGACAAATGTTGCTATTCAAAGTATATCTCAGTATAAAAGGTTATTCTTCTTTTTTAATATAAATTTATTGAAATCACAAACAAGTATCATGCTTTGAAGATAAAGGTTTTATTTTGAAACTAATCACATACTTCTGGTAAAATACAGTACACAACTCCCACATTGCTAATAAACAATTTATTTTTTTGTAAATCTCACTTTGCCTAAAACTCAACCTAATGAGCCATAAGCACTAAGATAATCATGAAAGAAAACTAGAGAGTACAATGGAATAGTATCTACATTTAAAAAAAAGCCACTTTTACAAGACTATTCTGAATATATAAAATATATATTACTTAATTTTATTACATAACATATCATTTAGAAGATATTACTTACTTTTATTACATAACATGTCATTTAGAAGATACATTTCACCATGTTTTAGTAGAAAATAATGCACATACACAATGTTATTTATAATTCAACAAGTTGAATAATTATGACTACATACTATTTAATAAAAAGATGAAAAATGAAAACAGGGATCAAACATAGAAAACTAATAAGTCAAAGGATTTATACCATTCTCATATGTTAATTTGTTGGGACTTATCCTGTCTTATCACAGTTGCCAATTAATATTACAGCACACATAGAGGGTGGAGCAAAACTGCTATAAAATTCTTTAATTTAGAACATAGTTTGATTTCTAATGTCTCACTGTGAAACAAGCAATAATTAAATTGGTTTCAGTTGTCTTCATAATATTTTCTTCAGTATCAACTATACAGTAACTTTTGTCTCACCCTGTACACCAATGTCTAGTATCCTTTCATGTTTAGTATCATGTTAACAAGTTTAAAATGTATTCATATCCATCAAATCATAGATGCTGTTCAATATGGATGAAGCAAATTCCAAAGTTTATTACAGATCATCTATATTCTGTCATCTTTTAGCATGACGGCTCCCTACATATTTTTTTACACTCTGCTCTATTATGTCTTGGTCAGTTAAATCTCAATTTTATTAAGGCTACTTTAAATTATGTTATTTAGTGATATCCAATAAAAAAAACTTAAGAAGGCAGAACACTATCCTATCACCATTAATATTGTATGTATACAAATGATGTGGTGTTTTATCTAACTTACTTTAATATCATTGTGTGTTCAGTGGGGTTAGGAAACTTAATTTTCACAAGATCCTGCATATTTGTTTTGCACATAAATAGGGTTAAAGTTTGAGATATTTGATCTTTATCAACAACAATACACTCCACATGTTGTAGGTAGAAATGCTTAAGATATCATTCATACGAAATATTTTACACTTGTATAATCCAGCTTGATTTAGACAGTATAATAAATAAAACTGATAGATGTTATTCTACACAAAACTAAAATATGCCAGCATAATGTTTTCACAGGATGTGTTGAATGCATTTGTTTAGGTATGAGACATGTCATGAATGATATTACATTATTTCCATGAAAATAAAACTATATATACATAAACTTTAAAATAATTACCAGTGCACTTATTTCTTCAAAGCATGTTAAATCATTACTGGACTAAAAACATTTTTCTCATATATTGCAATACCTAAATTAATAGTTTCTCAACAAAATAGTTAATATTTAAAATCTTTTAACTCGTAGAAAGAAAAAGTACAGAACTTGTATCTTTAAAAGATATGTTCACATTTTGTGTGAACTGTTAATAAATAAACATGTAATGTGTAAAACATACAGTGCAAATAAACATTTCTTCTAACATCAAAAGCAAATAAGCAGTGTCCCCGAACGTCAAACCAGGAGTTACTGTCACACATCAAGCACCCTAATTGTGTGTCTTTGATAGGTTATTAAAATGATTTTATTTTTTGATAATTTTTACCAAGGAAAGTTTTGCAGTGTTGTTGCAAGATCTTTACTGGCAGTTTATTAACAGAAAATATGGTGTCAGCCACTCCAGGATAGACTGTTACTTGTACTAAAGTTAAAAAATCCTCTAGCATTGAGTAACTAATTTACTTTTTGGTTTGTCTGCTTTCAGTGTTTAGAGAAGTCTGTTGTAAATATTGTGCCAAGGATTGTGTTAATACATGTTTTTTTACTTAAGTAGATACGCATCTATTGATGCTGGATTAGTTTTGCTAATGTGTTTTAACATAATGGAAATGAATGCATGGTTTCCACTGTATACATGTCTTCATGCATATGTAATATTCTAACTAATAGTGTTAATCTGCATATATAACAGATTAATGATGTTTTAAAGATATTTTCCTGTGCTCTAAAACACTCTTGAGAAAAAAATACCAGTTTACTAAAAGTGATGAATTTGTTTGTTCATAAATAATTTTAGTACTGATACTTTTATCAAGAAGTTGAAATCTCTCAGGGTGAAAAACTACAGTTTAAAGTCACATATTGCCCACCTGCAAACTAGACAAATTTGCTTACAACATTTGAATTTTACCAAATAAGCAATGAAGTGATCTGAGAAAAATGAATGAAAAATAGTTAATGAATGTCTCAACAGAGCTACCTGCTGTTAAAGCTTTGCACATTTGCTTTAAGCAGTAAGTAGTTTAGCATGAATTCCTACATATAATAATTTAACTAAATAAAATATTACATAATTTAAATTATTGGAATTTATGGCAACAAAATTCATAATTCAGATCTGCACTAGCAGTTCATACACCTCACCAAACAAACAACTATGGTGCAAGATATAGGTCTACTCCATCTTCAAGACAACTCAATACCCTTTACCTAAAACTTCTTTTAAACAAATAAGATATACTTATACTACAATCTTTCTTGAATATCAACACTGTATAAATGAGGAATTAATTTACTATTTACATGGCTATTATAATTATTATTTTTTCATTTAGTGAAGATATTTTTTTTGAAACAAACCAATGAAGCAGTAGCAAATGGAAAAGAACAATATACTTTTTTCCATTTAAACTTCACTTTGACTGTATCTATCATCAATTAATTCCTTTCTTGAACTTTTGGCATAAGAGAAAGATGAGTTCCAAAACTAGAAACAAATAATTTTTTTAAATATTTCATGTTGCAGGTTTAATTTATATTGATTTTATAAGGCTTTGCTGGTATTCAGAATGGTTCACATACCTAACTTAAAAACTTTTAATTGAAGTTTTTCACAAATTTTGATTGGGCAAACAGCAGTCTTTATCATATATATCTATTTCTAAACTACTAACTTCTTCTAAACTTTACAAGTAAAATGCTGCTTTTGACAGGAGTATTCCTTTCAGAATAAAATGAAAAAATTTGAATCTAGACTCCTTTATGATTTACTGTATTCCTTGAAAAATGTTTAAGCTGTGTAATATTGCAGACATTATGATCAAATAAGTGGAAAATAAATTTGTTCAATTCTCATTAAAAATTAAGAACTTATCTATTAAGTATTCAACAGAAAATACTACATTTTACAACAACTGACTTTCTGTGAAACTGATAAAAATGTTTAACATTGAAAACTGCATTTATCTAAATTCATTAGATATTTTGAATTTTCATTGAAATATAGGTATTATTATTATTTCTTACCCAAAATTTTATATCAATAGGAAGACTCTTCAAATAACATCCTTAGCTACTAGTATATACAAGTACAATATATATGAATCAAGAATAAAAGGTCAGGACACTAGTCTGATTTCCACGTAACAACAAGAAAGGAGGCATGTCTCTTGTTAGTGTTTCCAACCAAGCCATGTACATTGGTGCTGAGCAAGTTCCTTTTCGTGGCATTGGTAATGTCCTGTAATAACACATAAAATACAATATATAACCACTGCAGTCATTTTTCAAAAACAATATGTATGTCTACCAACTACACAAAAAAATGTTCTGGAAAATAAGCAGTTATCTTGGCTTAGTGTAAAGCCCCTCTATACAAAAATCTTGAAGACTTGTCATAAATGTTGTGAAATAATGAAAGCAGTTTAATTTAGTTTAAAAATGATGGCAGAATCAGAGTTTGTATGTAGTTAGGCAAATAATTTGACAATGATGGTGATGCACAAATGTGTGAAGGAGAACTATAACAAGGTTTCGTGGTTCATACAGACCTGGCAGTTTTTTCATGAACTTTTTCAAATTTTCAAGGAAATCATTCCATATCTCACTTTAAAAGATTATTATAGGCAAAATAAACAATACAATAAAATCCATATAATAAATTAGAAAAATAGAATAAAGTAAATGTGAGTGAATGAAACAGAACAACAAGGTAATTCAATATGAAGGAAACAGCATACAGAAAAATGGCCTTTTTAGGGGATACTAAACTACTGGTAAAAAAATAAAGAGAGAGAAATGAATTAGATTACCACAAGTGATTGTAAAAAAATAAAAAATAATGAGAAAAAACATCAAATGAAAAAACATTTTTCATTTCATAAATAAAGTGCTATTCCCCACATTCACGTGAAGAATGTTCAACTGGTGCAAACCTTAAAACACTTAGTTCGTTGTCTCAAGTATGTCAGGAGACTGGATCATTGATATTAACATTAATAATATATATTCTGTGCTCGCAAAATCTCTCAGTTTGTGACCTGTCTCACCAATATATAAACGATTGTAAATATATCAAATTACAAATCAAATGATGGACTCAGATAGACAGACACGTGAAAGACTTTTTAACTGAATATGTTTTCCATCCATTGTTGTTTATTTGAAGAATTACGACTGTGAAACTTAAGCAGATAAATGTTTAAGATGTTTGACAGCAAAGAATTAATGCTAATGGAAATTTTAAGGGAGATGGTGTGTTGTTTTTTTGAGTGTTTGATAGTGCAGCATAATTTGTTTTTGAAACTCCTATGGTCAGACAAACTGCAGCTTTTTTTTTAGAAAAATTCATATAAACTGCTCTCAATTTTTAACTTGATAAGTTTTATCTAAAATTTTACATTAGATTATGATCATATTCATTATTTTATGTTACTTTTATTAATTTTTTTCTTCAATATTAGATATTTCAAAAGAGAAATAAAGATGACAAAGGATTTTATTAACCATCAAAATTGCTGAAATTTATTTTGGGGTGGGGTTTTTTCCTCCAGAGCACCTAAGCAGGGTACTTCCATGAAAGGAGATTAAGTGGGACTATCAACCCCTATCATTTGGATGTCTTTAATCTCAACTTGGGCCTTTTCTGTCAAAAGTTAGGATGACCCTTACCCACAATGAGGAATGTACTTTTTTAGAATATTGGAAACAAGTGTATACAGTAACCACACATCACAGTAAATTAATCCTGGGTAAAAAAAAAAAAGTGTTAATGATAGATTTTTTTTATTGAAAAAAAAAGGTAATATTCATCAAAATAAAATTGAGAAACAGATCATTTTTATTTCTAGGTGAAATTCAAGAACTGTTATTAGCAAATATCAAGGAGTTTTTTTGTTTGTTTTGTTTTTTAATTCCAGGAACTTTCCAGTGTAAATCATAAATTTATGAAACACCAGTTTTCCAAGAGTTCTCTAAAATTCAAGATTTACAGGTCTATGTAACCCAATGGGTATTATAATTTGGGATTCCTTCTTCTCATTTTGTGTGAAATATATATGCAATATGGCTGCTCATTTAAATGGTTCCATTTCAGACATCATAGCAGAGGTGTTTGATAAGCAGATTAGTCCATTATTCCAGTAGAATGTTCTCTGTCACAAAGCATGTACAAATCACAGCTGGATTCAAAATACCATTATAAGTATCTTGGAGATCAGAGCTTAACCCTATGAAAAATCTCTGGAAGAAATTAAATTGCACTAGACAAATGATAGAACCATGTTAAGATCATGTTTCAAATGAAAGCAGCAATTATTCAGATCAAAAGTAGTGCTTCCATGTATTACAATATTGATATTAAGACTCACCTCTATGGTCACAAACAAAGATGTATGAAGCATCTAGTATGTGCATACATCGCAGACTCAAAGAAATTGTCTCTGATTATCATCCAATTTATACACTGAAAACTTTATGACAAACTATATAATGTTACTTAATTAACATATCTTTTCTTGTATTATGATGCACAGCTATCAAAACACACACACACACACACACAGGAAAAGAAAAATACACAAAAAAAGTGTAACACTATAATGTCCATATGGGTAATTTAAAAACATACAAAATTAACAGCACTAATTTTTCCATAATAACTACTTGTACTTACATTACAATAAGGGAAGCATCATGTGAATACTGTAACAACAGCTCTCGAAGTCTTAAGTGTCGCCGTGTCTATAAAAAGATAAGAAAATCTTAAAAAAGCTGAACTGATTTATCCTATAAAATTTTTTTAATTACTTCATTTCTTAAATCATACAATTTATGATATCATTCCTGTAAAAATAAACACAATTCCTAAGACAAAAAAATATAAAATGTTCATTTTATAGGAATAAAGAAATGTAATCAAGTATTAGGAAAAAACTTTATTGCTAAAAAAAAAGCTATGTAAGACTGGCTACTGAACTTGAACAAAGGAACCAAACAAGACAGGGATGGAAGTGGACATATCACTTGATCTGGCTAATGATCACATAGCAGACTAAGACGTCTCGACTTTACATAGAGAATAAATTCCCCACATTACTGGCTTCTCTACTTTGTCTATTGAATGTTTAGTGTTTAAATAGAATCTCAGCTTTCATCATCATACCTTTCCTTCAGATAATTTTAGAATACAACTCTATAGTAAAATAGTCATAAATGTAACATTTTATGATTGAAAATTGTGATCCTATTTGTTTTGTCTGTAAGGAAGCCAGTAATGTAGGGATTTTATTCTCCATGTAAAGGCCTGTTGAAGAAATATGATGAATGAATGCAAGTAATCTTGGTTTTGGCTATTAGTCAGTTTTTGACTTTGGAATGCTCTGGATAGCTGAAAAGTAGCATATACACCAGAGATAGAGTGACCATGCCAGGTAGCTCTTCATATCTTGCTCCTGATGACCTGTAGAGAAGAAAATCCAGATTATTTTTGTATTGCTTTAATACGGGTATCCTTGCCATCCCTACGTTGAGAGTGCTAGTGTACTCTCCCATAGCATAATTGATGGCTTCATAGAATAAACGCTAACATTTTTCTAAATTGAAAATGTATATCTAATAATACTTACCTCCGCTGACTCTTTAGCTATTCCTTGACATTGGCTTCATCTATCTAAGCATCGGTCTCGCATGCTCCAGTCTTTTATATCTCACTTAAATGCCCTTGGCAATATCTAATTTGCAAATTCCTCCACCTGCATCAATGCGCCCTCTGTCCTGACACTGTATATAAGCACCTCACTCAGATAATGTAATCACTTATGATGAGAAGGTAAGCAACACTGAAGTGGATAAAGTTTCCCTTCCACCTGAAGAAGTACAAAAGGCACCACTCCAGCCTCGGAATAACGGGATCATATATGCCTTACTCACCAAAGGGACAGAACTCATCCAGTCTGGAATTATGAACATTCATCCTCACTATTCAACTGAGTGGGAAAAGAGCATTACACATACCCCCAGAATTATGGACAGGATGTGGAACACTGTGTTCAACCAAGGACATAGGATGGGACTACTTCGAATTCGGGATTATAAGGAGATAGTGGACCTCCATCAATGAACAATATATAACCTGACATTGTTCATAAGAAGGGTCAAGCACACCCCAACTGGATAGCATAGGATCAAATCTGCATCAGTATTACAAGTAGGTTCCCATGTAGGCTAGTGCTGCTCCTACCGACATCTGGGAAATACATCCAGGGACTGGGGTAGGAACTCAAACACATAGTTTGAGTGACACTCAAACACTCTGGAGGAACAGCGCAATAGGAGAACCAAGTTCCCTAAATTTTTAAAAGCAGACCAACCCCAATTTATTCAATCCAATGATCGATAGGGACAGTCAGAATCCCCTTTAGCTTTACTCATGATAGTCCATGAGTAGTGGTCTATGATAATACTGTAATACCATCTGGTAATGTGCCTAGATGATCTTATGGAACACTTCATTTTTGCAGAGCCAGTTGCAATCAGAATTAAGTATAGTCAAATGGGTTGTTAGTGCAGAATTGGATTGATAAAAGCAAACCTGTCTTCGCAACACTTGCTACAGAGTGGGATCCAGTGAAAGCAAGATGTAAGGTACCCTGAAAAAGAAAGACAAGACAAGCTTACTCCCACCTCCATATAATCTTGTGGAAAATCCCCAGAAGAAAAACTGTCAGATCATATAAAGAATGTGAGAAAAAAAAGCATTAGGAGAAGATCATATAGAGGCCCATAAAATGTCCCCCAGTGAATCAAAGAAATGGGCAGTGAAAGACAAATGTGCTGAAGCTGATGAGATGTAACTCAGAAGATTCCTCGCATGTAAAATCTATAATATGCATCCTGGATATTTTCAAAACCACCTCCATGAAAGTGGGGATAAACCTTTGGAAACTGAAGTATCCCAAAGAATACAGAGACAAGAACTAAGGAGTTACAGTGAGCCATATAACACTACTGGATTGATTGTAGACGTGAGAAATGGGTGGCAAAAGAATTGTGGAAAGGGGTGTATCCCCTTCCCTGTTGGCCAGAGACTTGGAAAGAAAGGACCTATCAGGGTATAAAAGGCCCTATATTGAAAGATAAAGAGTTCTAAAAAGATGTCAACAACTCCAGCAGATGACATCAGCATGTCAGCAATAACAATATACCCATGAAGGGAGAGATGATACATGGTACACGAGGATAAAGGCTCGAAAAGTTGTCAGGACAAGGGATGTATTACCACCTTAATATTTTGATTAAGTAATGGAAAAGGCCAGTTGGGAAGAAGGCTGGATAGCACTGGGGAGTCTAAAACTATCAGATGTTTAGGATAACTAAAAGGAGATGAAATGTTATCTAATCTAAATGACAGGAGATGAAGCTAAACCCAAGTAGAAAACAGGTCAAAACAAGATATGGTGAACATGATTGGTAAAGTTGGTACAAACTTCTTGTGAGGCACACCCCAGGCAACTGTAAATGTTAAACCCCAATGAGCTGGGAAGAGTCTTGGCGTAGAAGGTTAGGTTGAGGATGCCTCAATAAAGATAAACAAAAATGAAGATGCAAAGGTGGACTCGCATGAAGAAACTGTAGAAGAGGAACTCATGGTGAGGCCAGCCAATCTAGGTGAGCAACATCTTGCAAGAAGAGGAAGTGAGGGAAAGTTATAGATGTGCAATCCCATCCAAGCAGGACTGATTGTATCTACCACCCAAACCTGAAGATGAGGTAGTTGAGTAGCAATAAGTAGCCAAAAGCTAACAAAGGAGGCCCCAAATGAGAACAAAGTTATTGGAAAACTGCACAACAGAGAATCCATGCATTCAGGAGAAAGAGGGGACTGAGACTGACAACTTGCTATGAATTCCATCACCCCAGGAAGCTGACATGATTGGAATAAGCCCCACAGAGAAAGAACCAAATTTAAGGGACCACTGGAATTGATGAAACATCTCATGAGGATATTGCCCTGCAAAAGATCTAGACTTTGCATTATTGCCTGTTGTACAGCAAGAAAATCTAAATATTGAAGTAGAATGAATATTCATCTTGCATCTCCTGAGAGAAGTATCTGTGAAGAGAAACTCTGGACAGAGGGGCAGTATACATTTATATACACCCACCCACATAGATAGATACATACATACACACACACAAACACACACACACACACATATATATGTAAAACATATATATAGATATACATACACACATACACATGCTAATGAATGAGATGATCCAAATCAACCACCACTCAAGAACTAAGATGCTGGAAAAACTAATGTATTGAAGTTCCAGATCCATTTGTTGCAATAGAACCACTGAAGGGATAGCATGTGTCCTACTCCCAAAAAATGCAAGAGATTTGAAGGAAGCCCACAACCCCAGAGATAGAACCTTCCCTGTAGGTAAGAGCCTGACTGCCCATTCCATAGCCTAGAGCTTGATGGGAGGTGGCTGAGCTGGATGTAAAACATGGTGAAAACGTTTACAACCCAGCAGAAGTCATATGGTGCTGTTGTTAGATGAAAGACTACATCCCTGAACTGCAGAACCTGATCCCTGTATACAAAACATAGCTAAAGGCAAAATGAATTCACTATGAGAATGTGGAGAAATGCCTCAGCAACCACAAACTTGGGCATTCACGGACCTGGTGAAGAATGCCAATGTAGAGTGAAAAATTACTCCATTGTGGACTGGGAAGAAACAAAGAATGGGTTGGGATGAGAAAGAACAACGATCCTCCACGAATCTCCCTTTGTCTCAGGCACAACAAGTAAACAGAAATAAAATCCCAGAAGAACAGGATCAACTGTCACTACCACCCCCATGATCAGTAACTCTGATAGCAGTGAAACGTAAATCCACACCACACTGGTCAGGAGGAGGTGGAAATACCACAGAGTAAGAGGATAATGGAGGTGAAGATCAGAATAGAAAGACCAACCTTGATACCAGAACCCCATGGATCTGCAGTGAAGGAATACCATGTGTCCTTCAAAAGTTGTCACCTCACTAACTGGTAGACAAAGTCCCTTCACCAAGGTATGTCTACAGAAGGAACAGAAACAGGCAATGTGACCAAGGTAAAAGTCAACAGGAGACCCCATTCCCCATTGATAGACTGCCAACAATTTGTGGGGGAAGAAACATCACAGAGCAAGTAATTGGTTCAAGTGCTCACATGAACCAACTTGGAACCCCCATATATCGAAAATTAAATAATTTTAATCTGTGGAAATGAAAAAAATATATTCCCCTGGAGGTAGAAAGCCAAAGCATGCAAAAAGACAAACTAGTGTACAAGGTATATCTATCACTATCCATCATGTAATAAAGTAGTAAGTCTCTCAACATGAACCAGGATTATTAGGTGAAGAAGGAAAAACTAAATAGCCCCCCCCAACTGTTCCCCCATCAAGAGAGGAGTAGACGTAAAGGTCACAGAGAAAAGCCCCAAAAGCACAAAACCCAAATGTGCTTATTGAAGAAAAGGAGTAGGAAGAGGTTAATCCAAATTGGACTCACGAAAAGCCGACTTAGTAAAGAAAAGAATCAGAAAACTGAGTCCAAATTCTCCCTAGAATACGCAAGATCAATGAAAAAGGAAACTTCAGTCCCCCGGAGAAAAACATCCCCGAGTTGAATATATGCATCCATCTCCCAACGAATCGAAACACGGAAAGTGACTTCCCCCTGACCATAGAAAGATGCTACATAACAACGGTAATATTGGAATTTATACCTGCAAACATCATGTCCAAGTTTGTTTTGTTTATGGAAATAATGATTATATGGAAACCCACAAGGTGACAAAAATCACAATCCAATTGCTCCAAACCACAGCACTTCGTCAGACAAAATCATGACCAATGCCTTGTCATGAAAAAGTAATTACATCATCTGAGTGAGGTGTTTATATACACAGCGTGGTCACAAGTAAATAGACACCATCTTTTCAGAAAAAATTAAATTTTTCAGTCATATTCA